TATATAATCTATATTATACGGTTGAAGAAGACCAATGTTCGTTTCTACTACTTTAGCTGAATTTTAATCTTAATTCAACTAATTCATTTTTTTCTAGTTCTAATGATTAAAAAAAAATGAAGAGCAAGTTGAACTAAGATTTTAAAATTAATTTACGTTGAAACGGACATAAATTAAAGTTCGAAATTTTCTCTCTCTCTCTCTGTGATGCTTTTATTACCATTTCATATAAATAAATTAATATTATCTTTTACCCGCTTTGGCTCGTTTTTTATCCCGGCCGTTTTCATTAATGTATATTATGTTTTATATTTTATGTTGCCGATAAAATCGAAGTATTTTGGAAAGTTCGGGATCGAACCATATCATGAGGATCTGTGATCTGTGATAAGTCGATCGTTTTCATACAGAGCTACACCTCGTCCCATATTGTTTGATTTCCACGGTCAATTTTTATCAGTTTTTCCTATCGAAATTCACTTCTGTCGATAGCGTGCGGCAAGATCTCTGTATAATCCGTATAACGATTTTCCTGCCGACAAATTTTACAGTAAATAAAAATTTGTTTTTCCAGAAACTCGACCCGTGTTTGAATGTTTATAGAGTATAATGCAAAATCGAGAATTTAATGTGAAGAAATTTATCTTAAGAATATAAATTTCTGAAGACAAGCCGATTTTCCAAAAATATAGATCACTTTCGATTTGACAAGTCGACACAGTGCAGTTCTATTTCCGTCGCTAAATGTCAAGAAAAATAAAATGATGATCGTGCCGACTTGTCACTAAATGAAAAATATTCTTAGTCGTTATCTTATACTTCATTAACAACTGTGTTAATATTTTATTTTTTATTTTTTTTTTTTTTACTGTTGTTCACCTTGACATAAAAGACTTCTTTCCTAGTAATTAAATATAATTTCAGACATTTTTGTTACAATCAGCATTACGAAATCTCGATCAGTGGCGTGCCATTAAGATTTAAGGAGGAGACAGGAGTATCGATGGAGAGCGAGAAGGATTACGGAAGGTTCATCGAGGTTCAGAATAGGTACGAACGAAAAAACACACACCTGTCGATTGAACGCGTCTGGCATGGTGAACGTGGATGTTATCCAGCAGTAAGTATTGATGGGATTAGTAGGCAGACCCTGGACGATGCATGAGATCGGGTTACCGACGTATTGGGTGGCCGTGACGAGCAACGAGCACGTGAACAGCAGTACCGTGGTGAAGTGGTTATGCAAACGAAAGAGCACAGAGTCCGTGATGATCTCCTGCCGCTTCAAGTACTTGCTCAATCCTCCCAGTAGCTTATACATGATTGCGTCGGGTTGTTGCTATCGAGCCGATGCGAGGACGACGTCCTCCTCGACGAAGAGGAGCTTCCCAAAGATGAGGACCTTCCTCGATCCGCCGCCGTAGCTGCCGGCACCACGTCCACCTCCACTGACACTACCAACACCACGTGCGATCCTCGAAAGAGCGCCGAGGCTATCCCGGAGGCCTCTCCTCTCGGCGGATTACGAATTTTAACGGCGCGAATAGAGGTTCAGGTCGTTCAGGACCACGAGGACGTACCATCAACCGGCACTAACGAGCGTAGCTCATCCACCGCGCTCTCGCGCGAACGAAAGCAGCAAAACGAAACGAGAGAGAGACAAGAGCGTGCACGGTTGTCCACGCGGCGTGCCTCTCTACCTCCCTCCTTTTTTCTCCTTCCGTCTCGCCTTCTCTCCGCTTCGCCTTCCTTTTCTATCGCCTCCCCTCCCTCCTCTCTCTCTTTCTCCCTCCTTCCGTGCCCTTCTTTTGCAGTCTCTCTCTCTCTCTCTCTCCGCCGCGTAGGATCTTTCCTTCCCTCGACTCTCCTCGTACAAGATCGGTCACCGAACCACACTGGACGAGTTCCCGACGACGAGTCCTCAACGTGTCCCAGTTCCCCCCGCGAGAAATCGGTGGGCTCACGCGTCCGCGTGAATCCGGTGAATCATTTACCGAGCGGGTTAATAAGAGCGCCGATGCGAGAGGGGGAGGAATAGAGAAAACGCGAGGTGTGCAGATCGAGTCTTTGCTCTTCTCGCTACTTCCGTTTCCCCTCCTTTTATCCCTGCCGTTTTCGTCTCTCTCTCTCTCTCTCTCTCTCTTGCTCGCTCGCTCGCTCGCTCGCTCTTCTCAGTCGAGACAATTCTTTTTACAATGATCCTTTTCCACAATTTTTCCACGTTTAACCGAAGAATCCCTTTTTTTTTTTTCGTTTTCACAATTATCTCCTCAGACCAAATATTCTTCCGTTCATTATCTATTGAATTCCCGCGCGTTCCGTTGGCACCCAACCGCGACGCGACGGACGTGTAAACAAACCGCGGCGTCACGCGCTGCAAGGATCTTCCCGCGTCTCCTTCCTCTTCCTTCAGCCGTTTCGATTTCTCAAGCGATTACCCTCGATCACTCTTCAACGATCCCTCCCATTCGCGGGCGCGCGTTAAAGGTGAAGTGCTAAAAGTGCCGCCGCAGAGCCTCGTATTCTATCGTAGACGAGATTCCCTTCTCGAAGACGCGAGATATATTTCCCCTTGCCCCCCCCGCCCCTCCCTCTCTCTTCCCCGTTCGATACCGCGGGGGGGAAACTCGTGCCGGCGAAGCTACGGTACTCTCCAGAGAACACAACACGGCCGCACACCGCCGTCGCGTATCGAGGAAGCGACACTAACTACCAACTGTCAATCGCACCAATCCCCCCCTCTCTCTCTCTCTCTCTTTTTCTCTCACTCCTCCTCCATCCCCCTTCCCGACAAAATTGTCCCCTCCTTCACTGCTTCGTGCACGCACGATGCGAAACAAAATTGTGTAGCGGCGAGGCTCTCTACGATGCTCCGTCTTTTGTTCTTCTCCCTCTATCTCTCTTTCTCTCTCTCTCTCGCGCGCGCGGAGGAAATAAACGCTTCCCTTTCCTCTCGCACACGCGGAGTCTTTTTTTTTTTCCTCTCCCCACAAAAATTGTCGTGAGACAGCCGCGGCATAGAGTGCCGGCGTGTGGCGTGCGTACGTGCGTGCGTACGAACAGCAATATCTTGAGCGGCAACTGGCGAGAAGTCGCGGTTGTTTGTTGTGTCGTCTAGGGGAAGGGGGGGAAGGGGCTCCGGAGAAGGGACGCAGGGGACGGTAGGGGAGGGTACAAAAGGACCGGCAGAACGCCAGAGCAGACACGTACACGGGGGAATGGCTGGCTACGGGGGAAGGGGGAGAAGGGGGGGGCCCCGATTGGTTCCTGCATGGGGAAGGATACTCGACGGTGAGGGAGGGTGGGGGGCAGAGGGGGGGCCCGACGCGCGTCTCTCAATTCGCTATAGTACGTACTTGTCGACGATGTACAGTGCGTGCCACGCGTTCATCTACCGTTGCCATCATCCTTTTTACAGCCGGCATTTGGTTCAGGAATAGGGGAATTAGGAGACGACCCTATATATCGCCGACACGCATATGTGAAGTTGCCCGGCTGTCCGTCCCTCCCCCCTCTTTTTTTTGAGAGCTAAGGGGAAATCGAGACCCCAGAGATTTTGTGGTCGGTATCTTTCGACCTCGCGTACGCTCTTCGGGAAAGAGGAGGATGGGAAGGGGGCAAAGTGGTAGGAATACGCGCGTTGGGTATGCTTATATTCTTTTTGTTGTACGCTTGTCGAGTCATTCTTCTACGTAAATTTCGTAGGATGATGCAATGTAGCGTGAGATAATTTGTTAGAGATATCGATTTGGACGTACATATCATCCGAAGCGTTTTCATGGTAAACGATTTTCTCTCAAGTATTATTCGAACTCCCTATTGTCAATTATCTCGTAAATAAAAAAAATTATCTTAATTATGTAATAATTATTATTTTGTAATAATTGCGAATCGGAATATCTTGTTGTGTAAGATTTCATTAGACTCCAATCTAGTTTCTAATCTTGGTTGAAATCAGTATTGTACTCGTTATATAATTGAACATTTCGTGGAAGCAAATCATTTCAGCCGCGGTTTTCAATCAGCAGCAGCCTTTTGTATTTGTCAGTCAACGACGCGTAAAAACATTGACGAAGGTAGTCAGAGATAAAGTGGAGAGACGTGCTAAAATTGTATAAAAGGAAAAACTTGCGTTCACGCATATTCAAGTTGCTGGAGTATACAAATATATGTATATGAAGACGTCGCAGTTTGACGTATCGAAGTCGCAGTTTGTCTTACCAAGAAGAATTAACGATGAATTTCATGGCTGTTATGTTCGCTCTTGTGCTTTGCATAAGAGTTTCCAAAAGTCGTGTGAAGAAACATGAATATTAATAATTAGAGAGAACTTTACACTTCTATTATTAAATAGGACTTTGCATCTCTATTATTTTTTTTAATTATTTGAAATTTTATACATTACAGAAAGTATAATAAAAGTCATTACTTTTCATCATAATAATGTGAAATTATTGTATGTGAATTTTGTTGTATTTTTTCCTAATTAGAATATGAACTTCAGTTGTATCTTTCTATTAGAATTTTATGTGTATTATCAGAATTAGCGATTCTAATAATTTTATTCTACTTTAAGTCCGTTCCGCATTCTCGCTGGTACAGCTACGAACAAGTCATTCGAGGAAAAATAACGAAATCTTATTTGCCCTTGCAAGATTCTTCGTATTCCTCGAATTTCTCACAATCAAAGAGAAGCAGCTTTCCATCTTATCCTTGAGTTTTTGCCTCTACATCTGTACGTTTATTGATATTCGAAACTCATTTACGAATTGACGGTTCTCATTCTCGTTTTCCTTTTCCAACGTTGAAGTGAGATCTAATAAAATAATAGAATAAGATAAAAGGTAGCTTTTTGAAAATGACACAAGTCGAAATAGTTTTGAAATTTTTTACAAAAATTTGTCGAAAATATCTATGCTTGTAAGTTACATGTATATATTTTTGTTTATATATTTTTTTTATTTATGTATATAAATATACACATTTATAAATAATGTTTTATATATATATATATTTTTTTTTTTTTAATACAGTAATACACTATAAATGAAAAATCAAATTATTAGATCAACCATTGAAAATATTAAATAAATGTTTCTTATTATTAGAATTAATATCTACGTATACATATCGTACTTCCGCAAGAAAAGTTAAGTCAAATATAAAAATATTCAGGAAAGAGAAAAGAAAAAGTTGCGTATTTTTAAATTAATTATATATATTATATATGATGGTATCAAATATATGTATGTTTACTCAAAAACAATCACAAATTTTGCTTTTTGCAAATTCTATGCAAGTGATGTAGATATTAATAATGTTATAATAATATTACTTCCGAAAAATTCCTCTATTTTGAATTATCTTTTTTTCCCTTGTGTCATTTTTCTTTAGAGAGAGTATTTTAATTCAACTTGTATATTATTTATTCTTCTAATTAAAATATAGAACTAAATAAAAATAGAACACAATTCGCAAATAATATGAAATTTGAAAAATTTTGGCTTGTTTGTCACTTTTCTTGCGAGAATATATAGAAAAATATAAAGCGAAATTTAAAAAGTTATAACATTTATAATTTTTCAAATTTTCTTAACACTTTGATCGTCATGTATATTTAATTAAATATATATCTACCTATATAAGTTCAAGACGCCATGTGTACATCAATTTGAATATATATATCTTATAAATATTTTAAAAAACGTGAAATTTTTAATTATATAAATTAATTTATACTTATGAAAGTTTTATAAAAGTTAAGTATAAAATTATATAGTGTGTAATGCCAAAGACCGATTATACAAAAATCCGTGTGATTATCAAAGTGCTATTAACTGCGTTTAACGGAAAAAACAGTTTTGCAGCACACAGTAAAGAAAATTATGTATTTATGGTGGAAACGGTCCACTCACGTTCTCATTAATAGTTTGTGTTGAATTTTTTAATTCGAGATGTGTTGATTTAACACATGCGATTATGTTATTTACAGATTTTATGTTATGTTAAACTGACATTCAACATTTCTTAGTGTCAAAATGACACAATTTATGAATAAGTAAACAATGTAAAAATAAAGTGTTTTAAAACGTATAAATTCTAAGATAAATGAATAAAATGTGGGTTAATTTTACATATCATAAATATTAATTTTACTGAAAAAAATATGTTTCCACGGTTTGTTTATAAATTGTGTCGATATTATCTTTTTTGGTATTTATTCTCTTAACTATTTGTGTAACCTTCTAATATATTCATCCTGTGTTAAATTAACCCCAGAATTTGAATGGACCGTTTGAGACATGTAATTTATGTTAAATTCGACACATTTTTTCCAACGGTGAACTGTTGTAAGATTCTTTAACATGATTGGATCTTGCTTTCAATTCTTCACTGGATCTAAATGTACAAAGAATTTTAAATTGCCAAACTATTTTTTCTATTGAATGTATAGCCTTTACCATTTTACACGATTACTTGAACCACGAAAAGCGAATCTTTTGCGGTCTTTTTCGGAGGAATCTCGAAATAAGTACAAGTTTTCATATAACATTGTCTTATATGTCCTTCAGGAAAGATTTACATTTTTTAAACATATAATAAACTTTCAACTCTATCATCTCGCACAATCATTATGACGTTAATGTTGCGTGTTATGAGTAACACGTTCGTTTGTATGAAAACTCCGAGTGTGATCCGCGAGCTTCGGTGATGACTCATTCGCGTAAATGCATCGGAAGTGTGAGAATTACTACGGATTTGATTCCATTCATGCGAACTCGC